GTACACCTATATACATGTAGATCCATTAAGTGTACATTCGGCATTCCCTTATCTTTAAAAAAAAAAAAAAAAAAATATTGAGAAACATTTTATTTAAAAAAAAAAATAATATATATATATACATTTTTATTTACAAAGAATAATTGGAAAAAAAAAATTAATAATATCCTTATTTCTAAATTTTAATAATGAAGAAAAAAATAAAATGTATTTTTTTTTATCTAGAGAGAAGCTCTAGGGTTTTTTGATAATAGACAATCTTTTTTTTCTTTTTTATCTAAATTGTTTGATCCAGGTACTCTGCACAGTAAAGTTGCTGGAACTTGCTACCTCAAAATACAAAATTATGAATAATCTCATGAATAACTTCTTCGCCGTTTATTCTTGCCACTGGGATATTAGATTTATTTTATTGATTTTTCCATACTTGTGAAGAAATATATATTTTTAAATTTTGTGTGCATATATCAGTTTCTTTCTTATTAATTGTGCATCTTACAACAAAAAATATTTCCTCTTTTGATGGGATAAAGAATTTCCAATGAAATTTTAAATTCATGTGTCAAGGGAAATAACTCATAATTTTCATGTTTTTTTTTATACATCATGAAAAAATCTCGAAAATTCTGATATTTTAAATTGTGAAAATAATATTTTTCTCAACTGAATTGGTGTCCACTTCCCATTGCTTATATTTAAATGCTAATATTACTTTGAGGGCAATTCCTTTTAAAATATTTATGGATTATCAGTAATATTATTAAAGATATCAGATTGCTTTTTTAATTGAATCTGTTTTGTTTTTAATAGGCTGTGTTTTATGATAAAATGAGTAGTGTTTAAAATATTTTTATTTTTTTATATTAATTTATAAACTTATTGGATATTATAAAATATATTAATTATAAATATATTTTTGTTTAATTGATAACATTTTATATTTAGGACCACTTAAATTGTTCTGTATTTATGAATTGTTTCTATAGACCACATAGCTATAAAAATGAAACATTTTATTATTTTTATACACACACCAATACCTCAACAAAATTAATGTTTTGTTTTTTATTTCACTATAATTTGACCATTATAGGGACCTATAGAATATTGGAAAAGTAATCTGCAGATTTCTGATGGCTGTATTAGAATAGTTAACCAATCCATCCTACTTTTAAAATAGCCTGTAATTAAGTACATGTTGGTCAATAAAGGAAAGCTAAAAATAGAGTTCTAACTTATCTGTTATGGATAACTTATGGTGTTTGCTCTTGACACTACCCTTCTTTACAGTGCTAAATCCAAATAACTGATGGTTGTTGTGCCAGAATATATTTAGCGTAAGAGCTAACCACTCCATCCTACTTTGAAAATAATGTAGGGACATTATTATTATAAATAAATAAAAATAATATATAAAATAATAATAATAACAGAAAATCAATGACTTTTTATTTCAAATAGGCAACCATTGCTACCTATAAGCTTCACTAATTTGGTCAGGATATGATGTAGCAACATTATTATTATATATAAATAATAATAAAATATAAAATAATAATGAAAATTATAAATAAAATAAAATAATAATATATAAACGTTGTTTAAAATAAAAATAATCAAAATTCTCTCAGCATGCAACAAAAACTATTCCTAATGGAAATACTGGCATCCCGCCAAAAGACATTAAATTCAATCTCTTTGCCACAAATCTTGGTATGAGCAACTATTGACAAACTCCAAATAGTTCTGGCTATTTATTTTCATTCACAAAGATTGGGTTAACCCATGGTATGGGTTTCAGGCACTTTCCAAAAGTGCAACATACTGGAATCATCTTCCCCAGAAGGTTTGGGCATACTGTTGATCACGCCAGATAATGTGCTTTCATTATAATAACCTTCATTATAGTAAATATTTGTTTCCAGGAAATATAAAAATGAGGTACTGGTGTTTTAATAAATCCCAGCAGACATATATGCATAAACAGCAAAATAATATGAAGAAGCCACTTGTGACCTTTGATGAATTTGTTACAGACAAATTCAGAAAAACAATATGAAGTCTTTCTGAAGATCTATCTAAATTATGGAACTTGATGTCAGGGGAATGCTGAAGATTACAATTATCAGGTTTTCAATACTTTCTTTTTCCACAATGTAATTCATTAAAAAATACTTTTAATTTCTGCAACAAGTAAAAATATCATAAAATATAGTATTACTGATTCTGCCAGATTTCTTTTCATAAAAAAGGCAATTATGGTTAAATGTTTTGCTTTCTTAGGAATCATAATTTTTTCCCCTATAACAATTCAATGCTACTCTTACTGGTCTTTTAACTTCCATGTTTCATTTAAAATTTGTATCGTTTTCTTTTTAACATGCAAGATTTTCATTGTTAAAACCATTTCTGGAAGAGTTTCTCTATTTTTTATCTAAACACTACATTTTCAGTTCTGTTAAGTCCATAAAGTCTTCATAGATGAAAATCTCATCATCATTATGCAATAAATTCTAATGAATCACTTCCTGTGCCATTTGTACAAGACTATTTCTGGAGACTGTTTCATCTTCTGTCCTCCTCAGATGGTTCAAATTTATATAAGAAATTTTAGGAAGGAGCAAAAAAAATTGGGCCATGGGAGGGTGATTTTAGCTGTTAATTTGCTGCAATATCAAACGTCATTTACACAGGAAACGTAAAATGAGGTATTAGTGTGTATATTGCGATACATTTACACTTATATCATTCACCCCAACTGAATGTAATTTAACATTTCAGTCAATATTATTTTTACTTTAACAGTAAAACTATATAAGATGAAATAAATTTATAGATTACTATCATATAAACAGTTACAAATTTAGTCTGTACTTCATAATCCTTTCAAGTGAAGCTTTCTATTTCAACACTACTTAAGAAGACTAGTCTGCTAGTAAAAAAAAAAAAAAGGGAAAAATCTTTTTGGAAATAATTTTGGGAGATTAGCATTCATTAGATGCTCTTCAAGGCATAACATTTGTTAGAATTGAAAAAAAATTAAAATCACTTTAGATATAGGATCCTGTTTATAATATAAAAACAGTGTCAAATCAATCTCTAGCCTTTTATAGAGTTATCCGTACTTTATTTATATTTACAAATGTCAAGTTTGAAATGATGTTTACATCATTGATATCAGTGTACAAAATCAAAATTTTTATTTTTACAAAAATATTTTTCAAATGGATTTATACATTTTTACATGTTTTATTTTAAGAAAATATTTTAGGCAAGCAATCGCAATTGTCTTGTGAATTAGATTTTTTAACATTGTTTTTACAAAAAGGTTTTGTTGTCATTAAGGATCAAACAGATATACACATTTTAACCAAAGAACAAAAATTACATAGATATACAGAGATCAATAACATAAGCACAGTTTCAAAATCTTGACGTTGGTAAATAAAATAAGTGCAGAAATTTATCAATATTGCAAGTGTGTATATTTTATTGAGAAGCCTGTATTTATGCACACAGTAAAAAGTATCATTGAGTAAAAAAGGGAATTAAAAACAATACGAGTCTAAACCTAAATGTGCAAGCTGGATTTTTTCAAATATCTCCTTTCTTAAAAGATATACTCCTTCCTCAAGCCAACATATTTATGTACAACCATAAAATTCTTTTTTTTTTAAAAAAGAATAATCAGAATAACAACACTTTTGTTTAACAACTTCAAATATTTACATAGCTTAGCATCCACCATATAAATTACATAAATTAATAAAATTATAAGAAAATATATAGATATAAATAACATAAACACAGTTTCAATCTTGACATTTGTAAATAAAATAAGTCCAGATAACTCTGCAAAAAAAATCCAGATAACTAAGAAGCACCTTTCTAAATTGACAAAAAAATTCAAGGGTTTTTATTCTGACAAACATTGTGGCTTGAAGAAAGTCTAAGAAATGCTATTTACAAAAATTATTTCCCACCCAAAATTTACCCTTTTTTTTTTTTTTTTTTTTTACCAGCTGGACCAGTATATTAAGTAGTGCTTTTATTTCTGTTATAATAATTTATTTGTGACTATGTCCTAATCACAGAACACAATACTGTTTTAACATTGGCCAAAAGCTTCCAAAAAAATATTAAGCAAATTATGTCTTGTCAGGTTTGTTAACAGCAGGGGTACCCAACCTGGGTTACATGTATCCAAAGGGTGCATCTGCAATTCTCTGAGTAAATAGAGATCTGACCAATTCCAAAAAGGTTACCTACTGTATTTTCTTGTGTATAATATGACTTTGTGTTTCTGAAGGTAAAAACAAGGAATAAACTTCATCCATGAGTATAATATGACCCTGTTGTGTAGTTATCGCTATGTAGTTTGTTTTTTGTTTTTTTGAAAAGTTATATTATCTATTAAAATTTCAATGTCATAGATATATTTCACTAAAATATTTAATTTTTTACCATATTAAAAAAATAGAAATGAACTGGATATTGCATGTTTCTTCAACTAATTTTCATTTCAAAACTTACTTTCAAATTTTCCAGATGCTAACTAGACATATACAGTAATACATTGTAAGGCATAAATTAATCTATCAGATTTTTCTGCTTGATATGACTTTATTATAGTTCTATATAAATAGTATTCTATCCAAATATTAAAGCATATAATAATTATTTTCAGAGATGTAGCAAAATACAGGAATTCCTACAGAAGGTAGTAAAGGAAAGCAAGAAGAAAGGACTATTCATTAATTGTAAAAAGATAGAACATATGGTTGTCAGCAAAAAAAATGAGCTCAACATGTGAATAACAAATTGGAGATTTTATTTTTAATCATTTTCCCCAAGCAAGGCAGTAATGCTGCTAAAACATAAGGAATTACTGTGTGTAAAAGAATAAGAAAAAAGAGAAACATTATTACGGAGTGAGATAAATAATAGGAAAAGAGTCAAAAAGACAGTAGATAACAATTGACATCGCATTTAAATTTTTG